GAGCTACGCAAGACTTTTACAGCAAATTTGTTCGTAGATACCGTAAGCTAAATGGAATGTTTAACTTTCACTTACTGGCTCAGAGAATTACATCTCCCTATAGATCACTATGACCACTTCAAAGAGAAATGCTACTCATCCAGAATCCTAAATCTTAAAGCAGAAGTGGTATTAGTGGTTCAATAAGATATTGAAAATAATTCCATATCCGTCTTCTTTTGAGGACCACTGATGACCTTCGCTGTTCTTTGACAATCTGTTCTTAAAGTTGTTTTCCAAAATGGAATGTCCTACTCGTTTACTTGCTATAGCAGGGATAACATTCGGTACTACAGATGTTTTGGATTACATCCACCATAATGCTCTTACACCCATAATTCTGGCAAAGCATCATGGGATGTGTAGTCCAAAACATCTGGAGTGCCGAAGGTTGCCTTTGCCTGTTCTATAGGATTGTGTAATGCTGGCATAGCTAAATAAGTGGAAGATTCCATTTGACTTACGATATCCGAGGACAAATTTGCAGTGACAGTCTAGAGTACCATTTGGTCCTTGGGGGGATAAAAATTATTTATCAGGTTTTGTTTTTTTTTGGATGAAACCTGTTGTTAAGTAGTAATAGATTTGAACTTGATGTTCACAGACTGTTTTTGCACTTGTGTTCTAAAGGCTAGTTACACTCATGGCACATGTGACTTTGGCAGCAACTCTGTTCCGACTGCCAAATGTCAATTCTTTGTAAATAACACTTGTTTTGTTGCACTGGTAATGGTTGTAATTAGCTTCTTCCTTGCAGGCAATGCCTGCAAAGGGAAGTGTTAATCTCTTCTTCTTCCTTCCTTGCTCTAATTTAAGCCCCCATTATCCCCGCCTCTCTATTAACTTAATGTTTTGTTTTTCTTTTAATCCAGTTTTGCTTTCCTCTCTCTTTCTGTCCTCCCCCACTCTTTCCACTTACCGGCTAAGAGCATTGGTCTGAGCACTGAGTCAGTCAAGTGGTCCAATGAAACATTTATCTATGAGAAGCATTTGAATGAATTGTGGAACGGAAGTCCGTGACGTGCTGTGGCGTCAGGGCGGGTATGTGAAAGACCCCCACCCTGTGCTAGATTACAGATGAGTTTTTAACTATCAAATATAGAAAAAGACCACACTTTATGCACAGGTAAAGTATTAGTGACAATGAATCACAAACTGTTTCATGCATATAACATAGTTATAGGTTCTGAGTGGTATTGGCTGGATCAATGCATTAAAAATGAAAATGTAATAGAGTGGAGGGAGAGGCAAAGGTACCACTCATTGCGTAGTAACGTTGAAAAATGTGTTTAATGTTTTATTTTAAAATATGATATTAAAAGAAACAATGTAAGTATTTGACCCTCATCATGGATACAGTTCGTTGGACTTGTGAGTTCCCATTTGCTTTCCCCGGACTTGGCATGTGAAGTGCAGGTTAACACTGAGAACCTGTGCTTCCACACTTTGCTGGTCCTTTTCAGTCTCAAATCTTATTTTGTCTGTGTGCCGGTCCTAGTCCTTGTATCTATCCCCTCTGCTCTCACTCAGGGTTAGTAGTCTGCTGCCAAACGTGTTTTGCCACAGTGTGGCTTTATCAATTACTTATACTTTGCCTGTGCATAGAGCGCGGCCAATAGACAAGTTGGACACACAGGAACAGAGGGGTTGAGCTTCCATATTACATCACAATATATTGTCCAAATGAACCACAATGTCTTTGGATGGCATAAGATTTCAGATATACCACAGTACTGGTTTCCCTTTTTTTTTTTTTCTTCCATACACTCCAACCCCACTACCTATTGTAATGTTTTAAACTATATTTAAGCATTTTGTATCTTTAATAAAGGGGGGAGATCCCTAACGACCCAACAACACTTTGATGCCTCTCACGCTCCCTTGGGGTAATACTAGTTAGAGTCTATCATAGACCTTTTAATGTCTTATCTAGTTTTATATTTTTTGTTGTTGTTTTGTTTGTTTACAACATATGTTAAACATTATCTACAACATAAACACAGCCAGTTCCTCAATCATATATGATGTCCCTCTTTCTGTCCAGATATTAGGCGCAATCGACAGTACCTTGTGAAGTTAGGACATGCAGGCTGGGATAACTAATTATTATTCTCATACGTGTTCTGACGCTGCTTTAAACATAAAATAACAGTGCAGGATGTTTTGACTTCTTATTCAAGCTATCACTTTATATTATCAATGTACCCATGCTTACTCATACCAATACCAAACTAAGTAATCACTACTGCACTGTCCAAAATAAAGAATTATAAAAAAAATAAAATAAAGAGGGGAGATCTATTATACAGTGTACAATGGGGCAATATAAAAAAGCAAAAACATTGAAAAAAGGGTTAGAGTAACTCTTTAATATAAAATTTATCTTATAATTAACCAACTCATTATTTTTTTTAATTTCACGTTTATTGAAATCCCTTGCCTACCATTTCCCTTTTCATGGGTAGTTGCAAAAGAAACAAAAATAGCAAAGGGTAAGATAACTAAAAATCCGATTGAAAGTGCATAATGAATGCTGTCAGAAAAGGTTAGAGGAAAAGGTAGACAAGGGATTTCTTCAGAAGATTCTTTATACATGAATTAAAAAATAAAAATAAGGGGGTGGGGTGGGGCCTGACTAACATTATGGAGAGATGTGTATTGATAGAGCTCCTCTCCTCTTCTGATACAAAAGCTGATTTTAACCTCATTAAGCTTGATTCAGCTCACACCAGCGACTTACGTGGTTCTTGCCTCAGCAGAGAACACTCGCAGGGTTTACAGCATTGACAAGAGCTCATCTACTGCATGACTTAGATATCGCGGCCTAGAGTGCACTGCACAGGAGAGGTGGCCAATCTCACAGGCTAAAGCTGCTCATTGTACAGGTGCCAAGTTACCCCTCCCACCACCTTGGACAGACCAGTGTGGGTGAACCTGGTGAACCCGGTCCACCCCTGACCAAACTCTTGTGAGTCACCTAAAATGGTGGACGCCACGTGGGAACTGTCACGATAACTGTGTTACCCAATACGCAGAACTATAGTAACACAAACAACGTATACCGGACCTTAGAATGGCTGGACTAAACATAAAAGAGAATGGTCAAAGTACAAGCCAAGGTCGGGGATACAGAATGAGACAATACAAATAACTAGCCAAGGGTCAGGATACCAGAAGAAGGGTAAAGTCAAAAACAATAGCCAAAGTCAATAACCAGAAAAATATACCAAGAACGCGCTCTCTGACAATCAACATGTGGAAACCATGACAGGGCACTGAGAAAAGGCATTACAGGGTTTTAATATGCCTCTCAGTGCTGTGATTGGTTAGTACATGGCCTTTAACCCCAAAACATGCATGTGCATCGCTAACGCAATCTTTAATGTGGGCAGTGTGCCCTTTAACAGTAGGAACGGGACCACAGCGGCAGGCGTCTCTTAGAATGCCGCACCAACGGGGACCTATCTTCTTGGAGGATCGGGCAGGACTCTGCTGCGATCCAGGTAAGTAAATTTTTTCCTTTTCGGCGTGACCGCCCTGCTCATGTGCCCTGCTCATGAAGTATCGGCATGGCCGCACTGATCAGGCATAACCGCGTTGATACAGACCCCTGTGCCGTGAACAGGCTGGCGTCCAGGCTGAACCGAATATTTGAAGCTTTCTAGCGAAAGGTCGAGAATAGAATGCAGCAACCTGACCCAGGTCAGTCAAGTGACTACTCACCACAAAAGGTGAATAACCACCTGCAGCAGGAGACCATAGCTCAAGACACATGTGCCCTGCTCATGAAGTATCGGCATGGCCGCACTGAGACCGCGTTGATACAGACCCCTGTGCCGTGAACAGGCTGGCGTCCAGGCTGAACCGAATATTTGGAGAATAGAATTGCAGCAACCTGACCCAGGTCAGTCAAGTGACTACTCACCACAAAAGGTGAATAACCACCTGCAGCAGGAGACCATAGCTCAAGACACATGGTGACGAGGCGGGAAGCAGCACACACCACTCCAACACAGGGCAGTATACAAGAGACTCACTTCACAGCTTGGAAACCTGGGACTTGGAGCCCTATAGATGTGTAAGTGGTTGTGGTGGCAGTTCAGGCACTGGGAGCCCTACAGATGTGTAAGTGGTTATGGTGGCAGTCCAGACACTAGGAGGCGGGAGCCCTATAGATGTGTAAGTGGTTGTGGTGGCAGTCCAGGCACTGGGAGCCCTATAGATGTGTAAGTGGTTGTGGTGGCAGTCCTGGCACTGGGAGCCCCCTGCCCATAACTAAAGTGCCAGGACTGCCACCACAACCACTTACACATCTATAGGGCTCCCAGTGCCAGGACTGCCACCACAACCACTTACACATCTATAGAGCTTCCACGACCTGATGACCAGACTGCCACCACAACCACTTACACATCTATAGGGCTCTCGCCTCCCAAAATTTACTTTGAATTTGGAATTCTCACTTTAGTAAAAAACAAACAAAAAAAATCATATCAGATTATATTTAAATATCCAGCAATTTGTGGTAGTGTTCCTTTAAAGAGCTAACATACTACACTATGACGCTCTTTATATTTCCGCTACATATGCCTCCCAATCTGTTCATTCCAAAATTTCCAGAGTAAATTGTAAAAGAAAACCAAAAGTAAAGTGCAGAAATAATACATTTCTTCGTGATAAAGGACTGTATGATGGAGTTAAAATATGTAAACATACTAATTGTAATGAATATGTAAACATACTAATTGTAATCAACTTAACCTTGTTTGCAAATTACCGATTCACTGAAACTTTACATTTAATTGTGTTGGAACTATGTAAAAAAAAATAAATAATCAGACATTCTTTTCTGCAAAGGCCATTCTTTTGCTGAGATGAATAATTAGAAAAAGTTAATATTAAACAGATATTTCTTTATAAATGAAGCAGAACAAGGGCTAACAAAAACCTCCTGATTGCTTCACATCCTTGGCTGCATTGCATCGGAACAGCTCACAGACCTGAAAGGTTAGTTTGTGTTTCTAAGGAGACAGAAAACTTTCACTGTTGACATTACACCTGGCTGGACTATTTAACTTGGGAAAGGGACATCTCCATTCACTCTTCTGTTTCATTCCAGCACACACACACACACACACACACAGAGGCTGTCTGAGCACATTACTGCAATGGGTTGCAACGCTAGCAAAAGCACAACCGCTGTTGAACCTTCTCAGAAGCCGGGAGACCCTGAGAAGAAAGATGACGAAAAGCATGAAAATGAGAGCGAAGCAGCAATGGAAAGTGCTCAACATTCGGCGGAAAAAGAAAATTCAGATAATAAGAAGAGCTGAAACTTTACATTACGCTCGAAAAAAGTCAAGAAAATCAAGTTTATTTATTCTCTTTGATCTGCTGAAAAACTGCGATTTCACCACTTTAGAATTTACCCAATGGAAAACAAGAAATTTCATTATAATTTGTGAAGCTGCAAAGGACAGAGGCTGAAACATCTTGATGGCACGCATCACTTACAACAACAATTCTTCTTCAGGATCAAACTGCTGGGGTGGACTGTCTTCCATGGTAGAACTGTCCGAGGACCAACATGGAAGCAGAAACATCTAATGAACATTATCTACCAAGTGCAAATATACTTAATGCATGATCAGCACTGATCTTCTACAACATGGTCATCATAGTCTTCTAGATACGTCATCAGACATTGGATAGATGCAAAACTTTGTTATTATAAAAGACTATCCTCTGGACTTAAGTGCAATGAATATACATGAGCACGTTAAGTATATCAAGGGAAAATGAGTATGTAAGAAAATACGCTGTCTGCATCCGTGATATGGTTCATTTAACAAATAGATCATGTAGAGGGATACTGTTGTTTGTGGGGTGGAAATTAATTTAGACTTTTATTGCTTTATACAAATATTACCTTTTGGATAACCAATTTCAGAAAAAGCAAAAAAATTAGCCAAGCTACATTTAAAATAATCTGTCTTTTATCTTTAAGCTTTTTTTACATTTATAAATGCATGCTGGGGAGGGGGGAGGTGGGGAGGTGTTTATCAAAGTGTTCTGTTCTAAAAAGTGACAATGAGAATGTAAAAGGGGAGGAGTCACCATGGAGTTTGCATGCTGATTCTACAGGTTTCCATGGTGATTGCCCTGCTTTTAGCACATAAGACTACTTTTTGGAATAGAACACTTTGATAAATATACCCCATTAAAGATTAAATTATTTGTCAAAACCAGTGATATTGGAAATAGAACAGTAGTATTCCAAAGCTTTATTATGTTATTATAGACTCGTTATTCTAAACAGTTGCACAGTTTGTCTTCAGTAGGCTGATTAATATAAATTGCAAGCTCAGAGAACAAGTTTAGATTCTCACAAATGTCAACTTTAAAATATTATTTCTTAAACCAAAATGCATCATTATTTTCCATGGTTTACCGAAAACATGATAATTCTATATGGGTGAAATACTCAGTTTTTCTCTTTTTCGTTTATTGTGTGTCTAGCATGGATTATTGATTTACCAAAAAATGCACCCAATTCATTACATCATTAATGTCCGTTATACATTTTTTGTTTATTTTTGTGCAAATATTAGTCTTAGCAGAAATAAGAAATATTTTACAATCTGAGTTATAAAAGCTATAGAACTAAGCGAAACCTGCAATTAAATAGGGGTAGAAACACACGCACACATTTTTTTTAGCATTTTAATGTTAATTTTAATGTTTTTTTTTTTATAAATCTCAGGAATTATGCATCAAGCAGGGGGAACTCACTGCAATACATACCTGGGTGCTATTGCTATATTAATTGTGAGAGCACTGAAATGTTCTCTGCTAATGTTTTATTAAAGAATGTGAAACTTTAAAAAAAAAACTTTTTTATTTACTTTTTTTTTACATTCAAAGTTTTGAATCCTGTGAACCACACTATTTGATATGGTTTATCTACCAGAGCGGAACAAAGTAAAACTGTGTGAAACTAAATATGCATACTGTGATTCTTTATAGTTACAAACATATGATCCAGGCTTCCCCAAACTCGGCCCTCCAGATGTTGCTGAACTACAACTCCCATGATTCTAGGAATGAAAAAGATAGGTTGAGAATCATGGGAGTTGTAGTTCAGCAACATCTGGAGGGCCAGAGTTTGGGGAAGCCTGAGTATGATCAATTGTTGCCATTGAGCAATACCAACTGGAGCAAAAAACACTAAGTAAGTGATTGTAAATATATACAAAATAATAATGTCCAAGTACAGATCCCTGAGGTACCCCACTGGTGACAAGCCCAAGCTTCGAATATACTCCATTGACTACAACCCTCTGTTGCCTGTCACTCAGGCACTGCATTACCCATTCAACAATATTGGAATCCAAACTTAAAGATTGCAATTTATTGATAAGCCAATCAATACAAATAATAAAATCAATAAAAATCAAACAAAAAGACCAGATCCTATCGTACTTCCCAGCCACCATCTGGTATTGTGCTATCCTTTACTAGTGTTCTTACCTTAGAGGACCATTCTATATGGTACTCCGTGCCAGAGTGATCTGTCCAATGTCCTCAGGGCAGTGATGGAGTCTGTGGTTGTTCTGTGTGACCAGAGTATTGTGAAGGATCCATTCCTGGGACAGACTATAGGGAGCTTCAGTCTGGTGAAGTACCATGTCAGACGGCAACGGTATAAGGAATTGTCCTATACTAGTGTGATGTAATATCCATTCCTAAAATCAAGATATATCTATTAGGATTTAATGAGTGAATGTCTCCAGAACACTGAGATGCCATTATTAATTTACAAGGCTGGATATAATCTCTCTGCTGCCCTAAGGCCTGCTTCCTCAATGCGCCCCAGCCCGTCATATATATGAAGCTTGGTGTATGTGATTGGAAGGATGAATGCGACTAGTTTGCATGTATGTGATTGGATGGATATGACTAGTTTGGTGTATGAGAGTGGATGGTTGAATGTGACAAGTTTGCGGAATGTTATTTGATGGATGAATTTGGTATGAGTGTAGATTTAATTATGAATAGGTGGGTGGCTGGATGGCAATAAGTGCAAGGTCGGTGTGGGTAGGTGACATTTTATGTGGCCAAGTGTGGGACTGTGAGAAGGTGAGTGGGTATGACTGGGTGGTAAGATGGGACTATCTAAAAGGGGAATATGAACAGTTCTGAGTATGTGACTGGCTGGGTGGCTGAATGGCAATGTGTATATAGGAGCCTGTGTGCAGTGTTAATGAGTTCATATGAATGACAGGTGTATTTGTGTAGAGTGCTAGTGTATGAATATAGTTGTGTGTTTTATAGAGTGCCAGTGTATGCATGCAGGAGCATATTTACATGAAGTTTTAGCGTGCATGTGTGGGTATTCTTTTTACATATTTATGTGTGTTTGTGCATAATGTTTATAATTCCCATCTAACCCCTTTTTATCTCTGTGCAGTCTCCCCATTAATTTATCTCTTCCTCACGTGTGTTCCTCTCCCCTTTCCTTGATTATACCCTCTCCCTATACTCCTTCCTTTCTCCAATTGTTCCCCTCTGTTTGTTTCCCCTTGTAACGAACCCTGAAGTGGTAGGTAGGGGTTCATCTGATTTTACCCAAATGGCTAAGAACAGGAGTGATTATAGCTCGCCGTTTGGGTTTCTGTTCGTCTCTTACTACAGAGTAAGTACGGAGTCTCCCAGAGTAGTAATCAGGTACCAAAACATCAGCCAAAACATGATGAAGGGTGTAACAGGAATTAGGTTTTATTGTGCCACCCTGGCTTTTATGCAATTATCCAGGCAATTCTCCAGGCCAGAGGAACACCACTATTACACAATCCAGGCCAGAGGTACACAACTTATTAAAGCCAATGACAATACAGGGACAAATAGAGACACTCCCAGTACAAACAGTTAATTCCCTCCTCTCTGCCTGGAGATAATTGGGTCAGATAAAGTAATAACAATTATCTCCAGGCAGAGGGAACATAATTTTCACAAAAGTTGAAAAACACCCCAAAACATACAGGAGCCCCATAAATGTCACATCCCCTGATAGCCCTGATCTGGGTGAGAAACATATCCAAAAATCACCTAGATCAGTTCAGGGGTTTTCGAATTTCATGGAAGTCACAAAACCGAACAAATACATGAACGGATCCCTCTGGCTCATAGTAGCCATTGTTCCCCTGGTTCGTGGGAACAAAACTACCGAACAGCACTCTCCTAGCTGTTCGGGAAAAGGAAGCAGGCGTTCATTAGTTTGACCGGTGTTCGGGAAGTCGAGTGTCCGATTTTAGTTCCAGACACTCGACGACCAAGTCCCACTGCCTGCTTTCATGCAAACAAGTTGGCCGCTGTTTTCACGAAAGCAGGCAGTGACGTTCGGCTATACACACAAAGAGAGCGCTTAATTTAAGGTTTCCTTCAGTCATAATGAGCCAGAGGGGTGGTCAGTGGTTCGGTAATTTGAAAACTACCGAACAAATAAACGAAATTAGAGGAATAACCGAAATAATATCCGAACAAAGTTGAGAAAAATGCTGTATTTTTTCACACTACTCCCCCTTAGTCTATGGGTCTGTATACCCGCCTAGACCCTGCCGGGTTGGCTTGGGGATGTCCGGGAAGAGCAAGTTCCAGTTCGGTTTGGCGGGATAATCCATTGGCATTTTCATTCTGTTTGCCTGGCCTGTACTGCATGGTGAAGTTGTTCGGTTGTAAGGCCAGGCTCCAGCGCAGTAATCAGGGATTGTCTCCTGCCACCCGGTTCAGCCAAATTAGGGGATTGTGGTCAGTCATTAGGGTAAAGGGGCGACCATACAAATAGGGTTGGAGCTTCTTCAGGGCCCACACAAAGGCTAGGAATTCCTTTCCCACAGTGGCGTAACTAACCTCTCGGGGCAATAGTTTCCAGCTGAGATACGCCACCGGGTGCTCCATTCCATCATCCCCCACTCGACTTAGCATGGCTCCCAGCCTAAACATGGAGGCATCTGTGTGCACAAGAAATAGTTTGTTATAGTCTGGGGTGACCAACACAGGTGCCTAAGCGCTGTTTTCAGTTTCTGGAAAGCGTCTGCACACTCCAGGGACCAAGCTACTTGTATGGGAAGGGCCTTCTTGATCAAAATTGTTAAGGGGTTTGGTCAAGGGGACAATCTTGCGGTAATACCCTGCTGTCCCCAAAAAGGCTAGCACCTGGGTGCGGGGTTGTGGCCAATTGGCAATAGCCTCTACTTTGGCAGGCTCAGGCCGCCGTTTGCCTGAACCTACCCTATGTCCGAGATACTCGGCCATGCCTACGTGGCATTTGTCGGGCTTTAGGGTAAGCCCAGCTGCCTGAATTCGCTCCAGTACCCTGAATACATCCTCTAGGTGGGACTCCCATGTGCTATTGGAGTTGGCTATGTCATCTAGATAAGCACACGCAAAGTCCTGAAATCCCTCCAGGAGCCGGTCAACCATCCTCTGAAAAGTAGCCAGGGCATTCTTCATCCCAAAGGGCATGACCTTGAACTGGTATAGCCCAAATAGGGTGACGAATACTGACTTGGGGATGGCCGCAGGTTCCAGGGGGATTTGCCAATAGCCTTTGCACAAATCCAGGGTAGTGAGGTAATTCCCCCAAGCCATCCTATCCAGGAGCTTGTCTATCCTAGGCATAAGGTAGGCGTCAGTTATGGTCCATTCATTGAGCTTCTGGTAGTCGATACAGAAGTGAGTTGTGCCACCCGCTTGGGTACCAGCACTACCGGTGAAGCCCAAGGACTCTGGGAGGGTTCAATAACCCCTAACTTGAACATATCCTGTAGCTCAGCTAGCATATTGTCTATAACTGCCGCAAGGATACGATAGGGTTGTTGCCATAGCGGGGTGTATCCCTGGGTCTCTACTCGATGGACCGCAGCAGAGGTGTACCCCGGCAGGGCAGAGAACATGTCTCTGTAATCCCTGGAGCAGCTGAGAGGCCTCACTCTTCTCCTGGGGGTTTAAGGTCTCGCCTAGCTGCACTTGTTCCGTGAGTAAGTCCGGTAAAGGAAGGCCCTCACTATTCTCATAGTCAGGGGCACATACGGCTGCTATGTCCCCTGTCCGCTCAAAGTAAGGCATCAGCATGTTCACATGAAAGGCTCTCCGGATCCTTTCATGTGAACATTTGCTGACTATATACGTGGTGTCACTAATTCTCTCCACCACCTTGAATGGTCCCTGCCATGCGGCAGATTCCGTGAGGGTCTGCAAACAGTCCCTAAACTCCAGAACATACTGTACAGTAGGGACCCCCTCTCCTCTTGTGTTCCCCTTCCAGTGCTCTCTTATGAGATCCCCGGACTTTTCTCCCATAGAGGAGTTTGAAGGGGGAGAAGCCTGTGGAGGCCTGAGGTACTTCTTGGTAGGCAAACAGTGGGTGAGGAAGGAATCTCTCCCAGTGCGAACAGGACGCTGTGAACGTTCTAAGCATCTGTTTGAGGGTGCCGTTAAAACGTTCACATAGTCAGTTCGTCTGGGGATGGTAGGGAGAGCTGAACATGTTTTTTTAAAAAGCAACTCTGCCCTAATTGTTGGGTCACAATTGCAGTGAACTGTGTCACCCTGTCAGACAGAATCTCCCTAGGGAAGCCTACCCAAGTAAATTTTTTTACTAAGGCCTCAGCCACCGTTTCTGCCTCTATGTTGGAAAGGGCTACCAACTCAGGGTACCTAGTAGCAAAGTCTACCACTGTGAGGATGTAGCGCATTCCTGAGGCACTGAGTTTACTAAGAGGTCCTATTAAATCTATGGCCACCTTGTGAAATGGTTCCTCAATGATTGAAGGAGATCCCCTCTCCTCCTTGTCCTTTGACACACATCACAGGTCCTGCAATACGTTTTTAGATCCTGGGATATGCCTGGCCAGAAAAAGATCTGAGTCAATCTATCTTCTGTTTTAGTGACCCCTATATGACCAGCCAGGGGAATATCATGGCTAAGTTTGAGTAACTCAGACCTAAATTTCCAGGGTACTACTAGCTGTCTTTTTGCTACTTGCATGGCCACAGTCTTATTGGTGCGAGTCTGAGCCCGACCCTTGTGAGGCTGGATTAGAGTGAGGGTAGCTCCTGTGTCTCTCAGAGCCCAGGCAGTGGACAGTGCCAGCCCTGCATTAGCCAGCAGGGGAGAATCTCGGGGGGCAACGGAGTAGGTGGCAGGGCAGGTGGTACCTGGTAGGAGGGTTTGGGAGCAGGTCGACCCCCGCTGGGTTGCAGACGTCTGCCATCCTGGAACTCATCTGCCCATCCAGTTTTGGGCCGCCCTGTGTATACGGAATGCCCATTCGGTAAAGGAATCTCGCCCTCCTTTCCTGAGTGCC